ACAAATGTACATCCTAATAAATATTAGTGTTAATTATGTAAATATTAATTATGTAAAGTTAGCTACTTGCATTTAAAACAAAAAAAAAAACTTTAACAAGAGTGCTAATGAAAAAAAAATATTTATGAGAATTATGTACATAACTTCAATTTAGCTTCAATTTAAAATTTACAATCTTAAATACTAAATTACTGTCTTCCATATGGTATAATATCCCAAGTGAGCCAGTTTATATTGTAAGTAGGTGAAAGAATCGGTTGTGTACGTTTATTTCGGTAGATGGCTTTACATTTCTCATTTTCTACTTTATTTTTTTCATAAGATTCTCTCATTTTTATCATCTCTCATATTTTATATCAGTGCTGCCGTATAATTTCATTAACGGACACAATACAAAAGTTTTAAATATTTTTTTTAATTTTTAATTTTTCTTCTAATAATTTACTAAAAATTTTTAAGTTGGTGTACCTAACTAAATTGAATTCATAATTCATATATGCTTTAATTTTATTTATTTTTATTATAAATTAAATTCTTTTTTTCTTTGAAAATATCAATTTTATATTTAAATATTGAGTATGTATATAGAAATAAATACAAATTTAATAAATTTACATTCAAATAAGTATATACTTAAAACAAAATAATATTATGTAAAGACAACATACTTTGTTACTACTATTTAATAACGCATTATAATGTAAAATTGCATGAATATTTAAGAAATTAAATAAAACCTATTATTGGTATTTATTTTTTCTATTAACAATAATGTGCAGGAATCTATAATATTTCCATTAAAAAAAATTATTTTCATTGCTAATTCAATTTCTAAATTTTTTCAAAATAATCTTAAAATTTATTGGTGTTGGAACATAATATAACAGTGGTTATCAAATTGTTGCATAACGGTATTTTACTTGAATGAGAAATAAAATTGGCAACTCATATTATTATTATAATAGTAATTGGCATACCCAATTAATATGTGGAAAAGTTTAATATGAACTTAAATAAATTGAAAATTTACATTTTATATACTTTAAGAATTTTAATGAAATGTAAAAATTCTTCTATGATATTAAAAAATTAAGAATAATTTACTTTATTATTGTGGGAGTATGCAATTATTATTATTTATATGAGAAAGTGTTAAAAATTTCTAGAACAAATGAAATTTTAAAAAATTTTAATGAAATTATTTCAAATTTATGCAAATTTATTTCAAAGATATATGTAACTTATAGAATAACAATTATTTTAGGTTATGTTTGAGTATATATTCAATGAATTTGTACTATTAATTCTTATATTTAAGCCAGAAGTTATATACAATATGAGTTCATTGAATGATTAATCAGAAGAACCCTGTACATAAGATATTGTTTGCATATACTTATAAATTAGGAAGATTGATATGTTACTTATAATTTCTAATAAAGACTTACCCGGTAGACTATTAATTGATGATTATTTAATAGTTAAAGACGATCATAAAAATGAAATTTTGTATTTAATTAGAATTTTGATTACTGAGAATAATCAGAATTACAAAAAAAAAATGTTATTTTTTTCAAAGCTTTGAATAAATTTGCATATATGTACATAGTAGTAAATACACTGCACATATAGGTGCGTTTAGAATATTATTAAATATTTAATCAATCTTGTATTATATCAATACAAGAAAAATATATTAATGCTTATATATAATTACAGAATATAGAATATCTACATTCATGCTTGCAATGCTCACCATTGATAAATGAATTATTCATCTATAAAACAAATTAACTGTGTAGAAATTAATAAAAGAAAATTTTATGCTTCGTAAAAATTAATTTTCGCTTTGTAATAAATTTCTTCTATAATAAATTAAATCTAATTTTAATTGATGTATGAGAGTACATATATAAATACATATGTTTAAATACAGATCTTCTATGTGTTTATAATATTCTATAGAAAAATCCAAGACTCAAACCTTTATTTTTCTTTAGTATAATGGTCTTTTTTACAAAAATCGAAAGAAATTATTTACATAAATTTTCATTTTGCCTGTAAAATGGCACGAGTGCCATAAAAGTTACGTATAGCACAGTTATAGAGGACCATGTAGCGCAACAACAAAAAATAAAGAAATATAGCGAATTTATTGAAAAATTTTCAGATTTTTAACTCAAAATTTTATGTTTAAACAAATATTATATGAAAACGGTAAGTCTGACATCAACTATCAGCATATCGTTATGAAGGTCTATCAATTGAAAAAAAAGCTTCTCAATAACAGCTATAAACATAATATTAACAAAAAATTTTGAAACGACACACTGTTTCGAACTCATTTCTGTTCTCTTTGAAACTAGGATGGATATTCGAAATACAGAATTTTTTCAGTCCGATTTTTTTTTCTAAAAAAATCCAAGGAATCAGCCCCGAGCACGTTTACACTAGAATTGGACCACTCTGTATTTTTTATTTAAATAGGTACTTTGTTTACACCATTATAAAGCTAAATGGCAATATTTCTTTAAATTTATCAAGCATTTTTACTAAATATATGACTTTCTTATACGAGAAAACTTTGAAATATCTAATATAATATTTAATTATACTGTTGGTACTTGTTTGTTTTTATTTATTTACTACTATATTCTGTTTACTACTACTATGTTTTTTATTGGGTAAATAAACTTTTAAGAGTGTACCAACCACTTTTAAATTGTTGAAAACAAATATTTATTTTAACAAAACTTAAAAAAAAAAATTATGTAATTATAGAGAGATTATGTAATTGGGAATATAAAAATTGTAAATTCTATATAGTAAATTACTTGATTTATTTGAATAAATTGAATTTTTTAATTTTGTTTTTTTGTAAAGTAGCATAATTGTTAGGGTTTGTTGATTTAATATTTTCAAATTCAAGAATTTGATTTTCAATATTTTATACATAATTCTTCTCTTATTTATTTTATTCTCTTAATTTATTATTTTAGCTCAGATTTTTATTTATTTTTTCTAATTTCAATTTAGTTATTCGCATATAAAAAACATTTTTGTTAATAATTTTGTATTAGCTGAAAAAATTTTGCTGAAATTATAAAACTTCTAATAAATGTACTAAATGTAAAAAAGTTCCAATCGCATTTTACTCAAAATACCAAAAATGAAGTATTACAATGTTTTAAAATAGTATTATTCTCAGACTGAAAATACTACTAAAAATTTAGAAATGTACTATACCGAAAAAAATTTTGAAACGACAGCACTATTTCGAACTCATTTCTGTTCTCTTTGAAATTATTATACGTATGATATTTTCAAATTCTCTGGCATATGTATTCGAAAATTAGAAGAAAAAGTGAATACAAATTTAATTTTTTTTTTCATTTCAGCTTAATTTATCTAAAATTTAAATGATTTAAAATTTAATTATAATATTGAGTTTTATACATATATAAAACTCAATATTAAATTAAAAGAGAAAAATAGTAAGTTATTGACCACATTAATTCAATTTCAAATTAAATTTTGAATTAATAATATTGCCAATATTCTTGGACCACAATTTTTATAAAATACACAATTTTTATAATCAATTAATTCTTTTGTTTAAAATCTTAAAGATTAATTTTAATTAGTGATTTTTCTTATATATACTTAAGTAGACAGACTAAAAATATATTAATCAAAAGATTCTCTATAATACGAGTATGTCAACCAAATTAAATACGATAATTATCATACATGAAATAAAATTATAAAAAATAATTATAACTTCTAAATGTCAAGTTTTATTTATTTTTGTATTTTTCATTTTTGAATTATAATCTGATAGCATAATATTATATACAATATGTATGTATGTATATAATTTTAATATTTAAGAAAATAATTAATTACGATATTTGTATATATGCATAAATTTCTTGTAAGATTAAAAAATAAGATGCATAAAATATTCGAGAGAATTAGCTACATATTATATCCAGGATGATAAATTTCTTATTTTTTTAATTTAAATTATAAAAGCTGAAAAAATTGTTAAGAAAGATCATGCATCTATATGGAATTCACGATATTTTATTTTATTTCATAAAAAATTTAGTTATCGTATATGAAAATAGCAACAAAATTTTGTTTAAATAATAACCATAATATTTTATGGTATCTATTTATAATGACAATCTTGCTACCTATTTGTTTTTAGCCAACTATTGATTTGCTTTTGTAATAAATTTAAATTTTTTCGAATATTACGCATTTTTGAATATTAACATAATATAATATTACAGTTTTAGACTTACTGTCTTCCGAAATTTAATGGCAATAGGTAATGACAATTTTATTAAGACTTATTTTAATTTCATTTAATGCTCTTATAATGTTACTGTAGTTAATACGCAACTATTATCGTAATTAATTTTAATACAACATAATTATGTTTTAAAATAACTTGAAGTATTCAATAATTAAGCACAATATTTATAAGAAAGACAAAATTAAATTTTTATATAGTTGAATCTTGCAATTCTTTCCCGTCAATTTAAACTTCCTTAAACTTCTTTATAAATTCTAAACCAAATTATGATCGATTCCAATATTTAATCGGAATTAATTAACTTTCAATATAATATCGAAAATTTTTGTTGATATATGTATGTAACTCATTGAAGGGGTTTCGTAAGTATATACATTTGTTATACATAGACATAGCTTATAAAATTATTTATATATATTAAAAATATAAAATTAATAGAAGAAAATCAACGGATTTGTAAAATTCAATAAATTTTAAAATAATTGATAATTTCAATGTTTTAGAATAATTATTAATATTAGACTCCAAAAAAATACAACGGAAGCTGCCAGATAACCAACTCTAATGAACAAATATTACGAATTTGCGAATTTATGACTATAAAGAATTTTAATATTCAACAACAATTTTTCTATGTAAAAAATTATTTTAAAAAATTATTAAAAAGAATACTCACCATTCGATAAAATAACATTGTTATTATTTATAGTCCTTTTTGTATCCTTAAATATTTTTTTTTTTAAATATTTTAAATTCAAGATAAAAATTTTCAAAATTTTTTTTGTTTTTTCACTATTATTTTCTTACAAAAATTTTTGTGACTCTAAATTATTAATTTTTTCAATTAAATTTAAATTATTAAAAATATTTGCAATTAATTAATAAAATTGAATTTTAATAATTTTTAAATTTTCTTTAAATAATTTGTTCTTATTTTTTTAAAAAATAATTTTAATATTTTTTAAAATATTAATTAAATTATTTTTTTTACATAATATTTTCCACAGTTTAAAAAATTATTTTTATTCTAAAAAAAATTCCAATAATTTTAAAAAATGAAATTATTTTTATTGTTTTCTATTCACTTATTCGTTAATAACTGATTTGTAATTTTGCAAAATTTTCACTTAAAACCAATTGTAAAATAACCGTGATTTTTAAATAATTTTTTTTTATTTATTTTTTGTTGTTATTTTTATTTTTTTTTTCTTCATATATAACTAGTGTTTTTCCGTTATTGTTTGTTGATTTTTTCTCTCTTATTTTTTTGCGTTTTTGCTCTTGTGAAAAAATTTTATTTGTTTTTGTTTCTCTGTTTTATTTTTTTTTTTATTATTTAGATTTTTTTGTATTTTTAATAATGATTGAAAGCTTTTAAAATGAATGTATAGATGGGGCTTTAGAAAACGAGAATAGTTAAAATTAAAATGATCCTGGAATATAAAAACTTCTTCTATTTATAATTATTTTTTCTTCTTTACAAAATTAAATAGTGAAGTGTAATAGTGTAAATTTTTTTTTGTTTACATTTCAAATACAAATGCACAAAAAACACACGAATAGTATTGAACGGCAAAAATATGAACTAAAAATATAAAATTTTATCTTTTACTTATAGGCACGAGCAAACACATACAAATGAGTACTGAGTGTGTGTAGTATAGGTAGAATGTTTGTATGTATTATATGCTTAGCACTTTTGTAAAGTTTCGGAAAGGGTTAATATTTTTTGTTGTTGTTTTATTTTTTCTTTCTAACAAATACAAAATTGTATAGTTTAACAATGCAGATTATTTTTTCTTAATAACTAATTATGTAATTAATATTTTTATATTTTTTATTTAATTTTTTGATTAAATATTTGTATAAAAAATTAATAATTAAATAAAATAAATATTGATTTTAAATGAATTACAAATTAGTAAGAATTATCTAAGTTTTACGCCGCGCGATTAATATGAAGTCATTTTTTGTATTTTTTTTTTTGTTTTCTTTAATTGTTATAAAAGGAACAAAAATTTTTGTTAATGCATTTTTTAGATTTTTTTTATATTTATTTATTTGCTTGTATTCTATTGAAAATTAATTAATTATATTTTATTTGATTTGAAAATTGAACATTAAATATTTTAACCCCTAATGTCAAATTAAAATACATAATTAAAATACATATGGAGTTGGGGGTTAAAGAAATAATTCTAGAACTTTTTGTTGTATGAATTGGATTTTTTTGTTTTGGATTATATATGTATATTTAAATAATAAATGTAAGCGTTATTCTACAAATATTCTACAAAGAGTACATTTGAGTGAATAAATAATAAGTACTTAAAATGAGTACATAATGTTTATAAATACGTCCTAATAAAACTAATTTTGTTATACAATAAAATATATTATAAAATTTAATAACATTATTGTAGAACTTAATAAAATATATTTTATTAAATTTAATTTGAGTATAGTTACATAAAATCATTTAAATAAAAATTTAATTAAAAATTACTATTTTCAATATAAAATTCAATTTAACAAAATTAAATATTAAAGGGTTAACTAAAATATTGTACAATGTAATACAGTGTAGAAAAAAAAACAATTAATGAAAATTAAATAACAGTAATAACGCAAATGCATTTAAAAATTTTGTTTCAGATTTCTCACTTAACTATATACTCGTACAATGTTTTTCAGTTTAACCCCTTGATTTTTTTTAAACATATGCAGCTCAAAGAAAGACTCTTAAAAAATTTAGTATTTCATCTGTATGGTATATTTTTTATGATAGCAATCGATTTAATATTATTTTTGTATTAAAAATTTATTTTATATATTGAAACAATAGAATAATACTACAAATTATAAAGAATTTACGATATATAGATATACGATATTAGAGTATTAACCTTATTATGCGTAATAAAGCTTTTAATTTTTATAAACGAGATTCCATATTCAAAATTCTTATATTTATACATAGCTATTGGCAAAATTATATTCATAAGTATATCCTTTAAAATAAAACAACGCTCTTAAAAAATAAGGAAAAAAAATTAACAAATTAATTTTTTTCATAAACTGAATATCGTAAATGTTATATGAGAAGTATATAATGCTGTAAAATATTTTTTGTAAAATTATAAAACGACGCCTTGTTATCGTAAAACTATATCGTAAATACAAAACTATATCGTAAAAAAACGAAACAATTCGTATTACTACATAGTCTTCTTATTACCACATTTTAATGTTATGGCAGTAATCTTCAATGTTATATAAATATGTAGCGCCCTTTCTGATATTTCTTAATTAATTTGTATTTGTATTTTATTAATTATAACAAGAACTTGTTATATATTAAAGGTTCTAACGATTATTAATCAAAATTGTAAATAAAATTATATATATATTTTTTACTTTGAAAAACCTATCAAATCTGTAGTGTTAATGTTAATTTGTTACGTACACTATTTATATTTAAATAAATTGTTATTAATATTCCCAAGAACAATTAATTTTTCGCTTAAATTCAAACTTTAGTTTCACATCTCTAAAATGAAAATTAAATTTTTCAATTTTGTAAATATCCGATTTCGAATAATTAAAAAGAATTGCAATATTTATTTAATAATTCTATTTAATAATTAATTGTTATTGTATACGCGCCATTTTATAAAAAGTTTACAAAATGACAAGTTCATTGTTTTAAATAAAATAATTATTAAGAAATTAAAAGAAAGATCAGTTTTGAAGTCTATATTTCCTCTAAATGTATATAAAAAATTTTTAGTATAAAATTGATTACATAAAATTTAAATTGAACTTGGAAATTTTTTTATATATTGAGTAATTATATGTTAACATACTTACTTAAGTATAATACGTAGAATATTAACTAAAAAGGGTACAAAGTTTAAGAAGGACGTTCAAAGTATTCATTTTGTAAAAAAATTTATGTAAACAATAGTAGATTATGTATGTATGTACATATATACATGCATAAAATATGTGTGTACATATGTATATTTTATTTACAAAATAATTTACGATTATAAATATTAAAATAAATAATTTTTTTGCTGTTTTTCATCACTTTAAATTAACAAATTACTTTAAAATAACAAAGACAGACTTGAGACATTTGGGAGGCAATTTTCACAAATGGTTCCGTAAATTTTGAAAATCAATTATCGTGAAGTGAATTAAAATAATCAAGAAATTTCAAGTTTCGGGTTTTAATTCTATTAATTTAATTATTGAAATATTTCGCTCAAAAATACCCTAACTCTTATGGTTTAGTTAGCAAACGTCAAATTTTTCTCATATTTTTTTTATAATCTTTCTTTTTAAACCTCTTCATTTTAGAAAAGAGAATTTGATTGAATTTCCGCATGTAATGGGTTTTTTCTTGTTATTTCAAATAAGGTTTTTCTTTAAAATAATTCTAAAAATTCTCACTTATTAACCATGTAAAAATTCCAACTTTTATTTAGTTAGTTACGATATAATATGTATACATATTTGTCTGTACATATTTACCAATATGCAATAATTGAAATTAAGAAATGCTTTTTAAAATTTTAATATTAAAAAAGAAATAATAATATTCATAGATTTTTAATGGGTAAACCAAAACGAAATTCACTTCAAAAACTTGTATACAATTAAATTGTAATAGAAAATATTTACTAAAGGATTAACGATAAAAATTTAGTTCAATAATGATCTTATGACTAATGAAATTATTCAATTAAAATTAAAAATTATGCAATTTTTAAACTTACAAATTATGTAATAAATTTTAAAATTTATGTACCAATAATCCTTGAGTGAACGATATTTAGTTCATTTGCAAATGAAATCTATAAATAATTCAGAAGATGAACTGTCTTTATTTATTTTTACATCATTCACAATAATTATTTACAATAATGAAATTTTTGTTTTAAAATTATGTAATTATGTTTAATTATTTAATATTTATGATAATGAAAAGGATAACAAGTGCTTAAATATTTTAAGATGAAATAAAATGAAAATGCATTGAAAATATATGTATGTCAAGTGTCACAGACAAAGTAAATACTTATGCAATTTTGAATAAAGAAAAAGGGTCACATAAAAAAGATGTATGAAATTTTAATGAAATCGCGTGTGAAGTTTTGTGTACAATAAGTTTTTGAAAAAAACAAATTATTTTTGAAAAAGAATCGCTGTTTTATTATTAGTCCTATACATTAAAATAAAAGTAGTTGAATGGCTCTACTGTAAGAAAAAAATTCTAGGTAATTTGACATTTACCTATAACATAATTATAGGAATTATTTATAATACAATATAATCAAATACACGAATTTCTGGTAGGAATTATTTGAAATTCTGATTATTCAGCTAATCTTACGATAAATTCAGGTAAAATAATGGCTAAGTCCCTTCTTGAATTAGTTTTTGTAAAAAAAAAAAATTACCATAATTTAAACTTAGTTTGACAGCCAGTTAGAATATTGTCAAAGGACGCGCATATCAAAATAGCAAACATATAATTATTTGAATTTGAATCTACATTAGAAATGGAAAAGAAATTTTATTATCAATACGTTACATACATTCAAAGTATATTATGATTATTACTTATCCAAATTTTCAATTCAATTATAATTTGATTGTGTGTATACCTATACACAACTATAAATAAACTCTTTGAAAAACAAACATCTTGTCATAAAGGTATCAAACCAAAAAACTTTGACACTTTTTATGTCACTTTCGTTTCGTTATTTTATTTTATATACTAATAAATGAAATTATTATTCATGAAATGTATTGAGATAAATTTATCATAAAATAATTGTCGGCGTATTGTAAATATACATATAAGCATTTTTACGTGATTATTGATATTGTATATATTATGTCTATATACAATGAAGGTATTTATGTACGTAATATACGCATGATTTAAGGAATATTGAAATTAACAAACTTGATAATTACTTATATATACATATACAAATATTGTATATTTTTTTTAGGATGTTATGCATCTTAAAATTTTATATTTTTAATTGTTTTATGGTATATACGAGAGGAAAACAAAATTGAAAAATATAAGTAGTTGATTAAACGCATGGTTTTTAAAGTGACACATTTTCTTTCAAAACTTTGATCTCGAGTTTTTGTATTTAAATATAATACTTGCGAGAGAGAATGATAAACGAGTTGTCGCTCGTTTTAAATTTCTCCAACAAGTACAACGATTTAATATAACAATTAATTTGTAGTGTCAATTCAAACTAATCGATCATTGCCATCATTGATCATCGATCGTTGAATTAATCAAGATGGTTTTTGACACTACAGCTTGTCAACTATATCTTCCCTCTCTTAGAATTATAACTTGAAAGAGAGGAGAGAAAGGAACTTAAAAGAGAGGAATTTTTTTCACAGTAGGCAGAAGGACAGATAGAGTGGAATAAGGAAGCACATTTTTGGGAAAAATTTTTGAGAATGTGCCAAAAAATTAAAAAAACCATGGTAATATAATGAAGAATAAAGAGTCGTAATCAGTATTATTTTATTTATTACAATCTATTGTTCAAGTTCAAGAAGTTTTTGTTTATTTTAATAGTTTAAGCTTAAAAATTTTTTTGTTTTATTGAATTTACAAAAATAATTGTACACAAAAAAGTTTATAGTAATTGTTAATTAAGAGAAAAAAAAAATAATTTTTTTTTTACAATACAATAACAATAATGTAGTGATAATAATGACACGTTCGAAACCGACATGCTTTGAATTACATTTTAAAGAGATTTTTGACGTTTCGTTTTACTTCTTCCATACGGCGTTTTTATTTTTAATTTATTTTTTTTTTTTTTTAATGAAATGTTTGTTTTTGTACAGGAAATAATTTAATTTTTATATGCAAAATTAATGTATAGCAAAGTGCATATATATATATCCGAACACATTTAAAGGAATCTGTCAAAATAAAACTATGTTGAAAGTTTTTCTATAATTTAAATATTTTGAAATTTTTTTGAGAGCTTCATATATTGACGAAAGAGATCATAAAGTGACCACACTAATAAGCCATAAAAGGCATAAGGCTGGACCGAGAGAGTTAATCATGTAAGAATAGCTAGACTTATCAAAAATTTCTTTTTTACACTGACGCCATAGGCAAAATTTTAACTTGTGTAGGTTCTGCTGTATAACATTAAAACTATATGAATCCAAGATGTGTTTAGCTAATGAGAGATTCATTTTGTTATTTCTTGACAGATTTTTTAAGGTGTTGACATTATTCTGTGCGCTGTCAAAAACTTTTCTCCATTACCTCAAAAGCAGAGTCAAAAATTTTTTTTTTAAAGTATGAAATAACTAATTGAACTTGTTTTTAGTAAAATTTCAAACAAATACTTTTAACATCAAATATCATTAAAATACCTAAATAATGGTAAATATATAAAAATTTAATTTTTAATCAGATTTTAATGCCTTTGTCCTTTTTCAAAGGTTCAATATTAAAATAAAAATTATTTTTTAGGTTTTTCATTATTTTTCTTCTCTAAATTTTAGTATATGAACATTTATTAATACGTCAATAATCCCATTGTATGTGATACAAAAATTAACCCATCAACTCCAATGTATGTGGTACCTACAAAAAGTGCAATTAAAACTATGCATATGTATGTATTATAAGGGTTCAGACAGACATGCAATTTTGGAAATACTGCTTGATTGTAAAGTCGTTGCGCGTACATCTAAGCAACTAAACCACATTAAAATCGATTGCGTTCGAATTTTAATCTGTTTATAAAAAATTACAATCTATTTGATTTCTCAATTGCATGTAGTCACACAGTTGCATGTGTGTAAGCTTGAATAGAAATCTATGGAATAGAAATAAGTAATCAAACATAGTTGCAAAACTAAAAATTGCATGTCTATCTAAGCCCAAATGATACAAAATCTGTTGCCGAATTTACCTAGACGACTGCTTCTTTTTACATTTCTTTTATATGTGCCACACGTCTACATGCGCGATTTTAATTAATTTCTTCCCGTCAAAACAATAAGTACATAAGTATATGAGGTATTCGGAAAAATATTTTTTCAAAACGTAAGCATTTTAAAATTTTAAATAATTACTTTTTTAATTCAGTTTTTTTAGTTTACTCTTTCAAATTTTTAAAATAATTTCAAATTGCACGTTCATATTTTAAAAACTGTTCCATGTGCAAATTACGTATGATTAGAATGATTGATAACAATAATTGATTGCAATTGAAAATTCGGCACATGTGCACAAATACAGAGTGCAAATGTATTGCTGGTTCTTTAAATATCTTTTACTACATATAATTGTAGTTTTATTTTGCTTTTTAATTAATCAAGAATTAATTTACAAATAAAAATAAAAAATTAATATTGTAATTTAAGTATGGTAGCAAAATATTTTATTTTTCTCTATAAAGATAAAAAAAGAATATTTTTGAAAATAAATATATTATTGTCATAATTTATGTTGAAATTTTATAAAATGAGTAAATCGTTGAGTCGTTTTGATAGTGCAAGTTGTGCTTTTTTGAATTCTGATAAAAAGAAAATATTCAAGTTGTTTTTGAGTATAGTTTAAGATTACCGCTTTCGATTAACATTTTTCTTGATTGATATTTCTTCCGCTTCAAGACCACCACATTGTTGCGATTTTAAAAATAAAACTATAAATCATACTGATACACAATTCATATACGTGTAATATAATTTTTATTAAGAAAAACTATTTTTAGATAATGGAATGCAAAAATTATTTAGAGAATTTAAATAATTAGATAAAATTAGTTACTAATAGAAGCTATTACTAGTTTTCCTATTAAACTTGGTTTAACATTTGAAAAAAATTGCTAACTTTCAATCTCTCTCTACTTTGTATAAGTTCTTCTGAATAAGGTAATTCTTCGTACTTTAAAAAATCTTTTTTGTATATTTAAAAATTTTGGCTTTATATATAAGTAAAATATTTTATTTAAATTCAAAATTTTTAATTAGTTCTTTAATTAAGTATACAATTTAATTTAATTCATAATTTTCTTATTATATTGTTTTTAAAATAAAATGCTTGACCATATTTTTTTCACTTTAAATGTTCCTCTTTTAACCATAAAATGGAGGCATTAGTCTTATTACATATAATGAATTGGTTTGTGTCTAAGTTATGCATATAAAAATGTAGTTCTCATAATATTTTTTTGCATAAAATTAGGAGATCATTGTTAATTTTGAAAATAATTTTCTTGCATACATTTAGGAGGCTACAGGTTTAACTTTTATACTCAAAGTTTTGAAGTGAATAATATATTTTTTTTAAAAATCTTTTTTTTCACTCAAATTCTTAAACCTATATAAACGCTCAGTTATTTAATAATTTTTATTATTTCGTAAAGAGAAAGGTAACTTCAAATGTCATGGTTCCAACTCAATAGTAAATTTATTAAGATTTTAAATAGAAATAATTCGGAAAATAAATTAATGCAATGTATATTCGAATGTAGAGAATTTTTCTAAAATCATTTTTTATATTGGAACCTTGTTTGGTCATTTAGGGTTAGGTTACGGTATATTTTATGAGGGAAAAATTAAAAACCATAATATCGACTTAGTATTTTTAATACAGAAATCGATTTTTTTATACATTTTTTTACGATTTTTAATACAGAAGATTTATTTAATGATAAATTGTCCACATTTGGTGGCTCATATGTGGCGCAAAACAGACGACAAAAGTTTTTTTTTTAATATTTCCGAAAACATAATGTGTCTGATTCATATATATCATAATTAAATTGGTCCAAATCATAATTATTCGAGTGTTTTTTGGTAAATAATTAAATTTAGTAAAATTAAAACGATATATGCATAGTTCTCGAAAAACATTTTGAAATAAGCTCCAGATCACTTGCATCCTTTTTTGTTTAAAATTGAAAATTTAAAATTGATAATTAGTCGTATTAAATGTCTGTGGTTTTGCTAAACATTTTGCTAAAAATACAATAACAATTTCAAATTCTAAATCAAATTTCTTTATAAATTTCCAATTATTTCTTAAATGATTATGCGACCACCAAATATTACGATATACTTTATATATAATATTAATTTGTAAATAAAATAAAAATATTAAAACATTTTTTTTTACAATGCAATTTATTTTTGTTTTTGTATATATATATAAAAAAAATTCGTATAAAAAGGAATATAAAAAAAATTTCTTTTTTTGTATGCACTCATATTATTTTAAAATTATTTTCAAATAACAATATTTTTAGTTTTTTAATTATAATATTTAAAAAATATTGCTATAATAAATGTACATACAAAATAAAATTTTCAATACAATGATGTTGTACTATTAAATACGATCGTTGTATGTAAACCAAAAAAAAAAAACAATTATACATACCATGACTTCAAAATTCGAGTAATATTACGGTATTAGCACTCAATTCAGGAATTACAATTCAGAAGCTGAATTATGCATTAATACCGTTTTGCTCTAATTTTAAAGTCAAGGCCATTTTACATTTACATATTTCTTTTTTTTTTTGATTCATTAAAAATACCCATAAATTGACTATTAAAAAACAATAATGTAAAAATTTTTTCCCATTATGTTTTTCAAAAAAAAAAATTTTTTTTTTTTACTTTTTTTCTTATATGTTTAAAGCTCAAAACTAATGACTATATAATATGAAAGAATGAGGCAAGAAAAACCAAGGTAATTTTCATTTTTGAAAATTACGATACGAAGAAATATATTCCTCGTATCGCTTACAATATCGTATAACAAGCAATTAAAATTCACATTTCTGCATCAAAAATCAATTAAAATTATTATAAAACGCGGATGAAATACAGGAAATCTGTATATAAATGAAAGTTTTCAGTATCTCCTCAAAATTTTAGAAATTGCGAGTTATACGATATTGTATGTGATTCGAGGATAATTTAAAAATATTTAATAAGAATTAATTTTGAGTATAATTTTTTGTTTTCACTTAAATCTAAAATTTCAATCTCCCAAATTATTTAAGAAACAAAAAAAAAAATTTTTTTCAACCCAAATAAATTGTGCGCCCAAAATAATAACAATAATACTTATATAATACAATTATTAAAAATTATAGCGAAAAATACATCATAAAAAAAAATACAGCGGAAAAATAAGAATAAAATAAATTTAGGTCCAATATAATGACTTTTTTTTCTCTTGCAAAATCAATTTTCTATTTCCAAATTCATTTCTCAATGTTCAAATTCCAATTCAAAATCCGTGTAAGAATCGTCAAAGTTAATGTTCAACTGAATTTGTAATTCTTTTATAAATCCAATATAATGTTAGTCCCAAGATGAGAGCTTTACACAATCTATCAACAATGTATTGACTAAAAAGAAAAATATTTTAGTAAATTTAATAATTTTTTATGATTAACAATTTCTTAATAATTATGCAGCACAATAATAACGTTGTTTTACATTTTCAATTGAATTCTTGCTTTCGGTAAACTTGATAGTGGTTCCTTTAATATATATTGTCTGCCACCTAAAATACCAGCTCTCATATATGATTCTTCTTCAACTTTATATGCATCTTGATTAAATCTGAAAAAAATATTTATGAAATATTTTTATTGAAAAAATTTTTTTTAATAATAAATTTTTGAATTTTGGTTTGAAATGAATTCAATTTGTAAGATTTACATTAAAATTTAGATTCATTGTGCTCTTTTACTATTTTAAGTTTATATTTTGTAATTTTTAAATTATATTCAAGCATTATTTAAGGTACATAAGATTGTAATAATTTAAAAATGTATTGTACTAATATTGACAATTGTTATTGAAAAGTTATTGTTTAAATTGCATTCAATTGACGTACTGGTTCGAATTCGAGTGCGCCACCACTCAACTTCAATAATAATTAGATTATATCTTAAAATATGTTAAAATACCAAATTTGTCATAAATGAACTTGATAAATTAACTTGACTTACGATAGTTGTCAAACGATACTATACACAAATAATTGAAGGAATAATTGATTTCACCATATTTTCTCCCCCAAAGTTTTTATACCTGTATAAAATCATCTAAATTCTAGACTATTTGTTTTATTTTTATTTTCGATGTGTCAATATTTGGAAAATGTAATTTTTAATAAATGACGACAATCAGTAAAAAAGAGTCAAATATGCGATTATTGTGAATTTTGTAATCTATTTGTAGCTCAAAAATTTACTCTTGATTAAGATAATTGTTAACTCAATTATTTATAACTGAGGGCCACTTAATTATTTTAAAACCGAAATAATCAAATTATTAAAAGCAAAAAAAAAATTTTGTTGCAAAATTCAGCTTTAAAACAAGTTTTAACAAAAACCAAAATAAATTAAGGAAAACCTGTTTAATATTTGATTTGTTTTTTGTTTTTGGGGATTTTTCGTCTTTGTTACCTTATTAGAGAAATTCCTGTTTATATCCGTTTATTTGTCCTTATTTATCAAACTAACCATTATAATTTTAATATAATATTGAAGAATTAAATTTTAAATTTATAAATTATGTAAATTATAAATTTTATGAATAAGGAAGAATATTTTGTGAATTTAATGGCACACAAGTGAGAAGAAATTTTTGTTATACAACTTAATTATAAAATATTAAGATTAAAATTATTAATTTAATATGATTTTCATAATAAAAAACAAGGCCATATAAATCGTCATAGAATATTAATATTGTACTCATTACTAAGAAAAACGATACAGAATCAAATATATACATAAAAATTTCCAAACTATTGTCGAAATATTTTGATCAATTAACTAATTATTAATTAATTTAAATGAAAACCATTTTGTATAATAATTGATAAAGGAGTTCAAATAACATAAGGGGTAGAATTTTTTCAATAACTAAGTATGTCGACAATAATTACAACTAGATTTGAACTGAGATCAAATGGGTTAAGTAATTAAGTTCAACGATCTTAAATATCTTAAATACTATTATCGTTAAATCTTATAATTCTACAATTAATTTTGTATATATTAGACTCTATGCAAATATATTGTACTCTTACATTTCACGATCTGCTTCTGTTAAATTCTTACTAACTTGCTCATAACAAGTTGATTTAAAATTCCATTCTCTTGTTGTAAAAAATTGTAAAACATCCAAACCATCAGCTATTTTTGTTTGTACTCTTACCATACTAAAATTATAAAATATTTTTATTGAAATATTAAATAAAAAAAAAAATTTGTTTTAAACTTACAATCTCTTTTGACCAGCTATTAATAATAGAAAATCAATTAGATATGCAGGAATCCACATAAATAATATCACATTTAACATATGAACAAAATAATTTGTTGTTATATTTCCATCTGGATACCAGAGACCAGCTTCAAATGGATGCTCATAACCAATTTTTTTACCCAAATCCATAACAAATTTCCATGTAACTTTTTTCTCTTCAGGACATGTCATATTATAAACAGGAATACTTTCTGGCCTTTTAAAATAAAAAAATATGAATTATTTAAATCAATTTATAAAATTAATATTAAAATAAATTGTGTATAGCAATTTCAATAAAAAATTGTATTGATTGAAATTACAATGAAAACTTCAACAAAAATATTGTCAGTGTTAGTAAAATTGGAAAATCTTCAAAAATGTGTGTTTGAAAAAAATTCTATTTTGATCTTGATTTTTTGAAATAATGTTTTATTTTGTTCTTATGACATAATATGAAAAAGTAATTGAACTCAGGCATAAAATCTTAATTAAAATCAATTTAAAACAATTCAGATATAGTATAGTTCACAAATCGGTAGACGCAAGAGATATTTCGTCAAAAATAATTATTATTCAACACGACGAAAATATATGTCACGAATCATACATATATGTATATCAAAATTTCTGATGAAAACTCATTATGTCAAATTTTGTATAACAATTTACTTGCATTTAATGCATTTGCACGTTACATTTCGTTCTGATCTAATACAAAACAATTACGCAGAGAATTCACGTGTAAGCACGCGCCTAATTCAAAGTTCTATATAGAAAAAAAGGTTCGACTGAATTACACCTACTAAAGATAATTTGTTGGTAGAGATATATTAAATTAAATGTTTGTTTATAATATTTAATTAATATTCAATATATAAGTATCTACTTACTTTTCTTTTAATGTTGCAAATTCATATGCTATTGTTATTAAACCATTTATTGCATAGTCTACTGGTATCACTTCAGATTTATAGCGACCATTAACTAACATTGAACGTATAACACCTTTTGCAGCACCAATCATTAAACCAGTCGGTCCATTTAAATTATCAACCCATCCGGGTAATGGTTCAAATGCTGCCGGTGATACTATATAAAAAAAATAATTGCAAAAAATAAAAATTTCAATTGTAATTTAATAAAAATTGTAGAAAAAAAGTTTGATAATAAAAGTTTGACGAAAAATAGTCATAATATTTGACATTAGCTCACATAAAATAATGTTCCGTTACAATAAATGACGTTCAATGACATTTAACAATTAATAATAAATAAAATATTTATTACAACAAAACAATGACAAGATTTAATGTTATTATAAAACATAAAATCAAAACGTTTAATTAAATATTTGAATGCGCGTATTATGAGAAATTAATTTTACAATCACAAAAAACAGTTACATACAAGCATTTATCTACATACATAAATTTATTCAAATATTAAATTTTATTCGATTCTCATATGTGATGCTTACAAATCTGCAAAATTTTATATTCAAAAATACACGCATACATAAAAAATGAACAACTATAATTATCTAATATCGTATAGTTCGATTAAATCGATTCATATACTTATTTATTATTCACGATGACAACAAAAATAAAACAAAACTAAAAATTATTAGCATACAAAAATAAGAGAAAACAATCTAAACATAATAAGCTCAATTTACATATTACATACATTCACATAAATAGTTACAAACTCACAACAATCAACACTTTATTTGATAGTGAACAATAGTCAGTGTGTCAAATTCTAATACAATGAAAATTTACTATTCCAATGAACATAATAAAGAAATTCAAAATTTTATTTGTTTTCAATATAAATTAATCAATTTTATTCTTTTATTTTAATTTTTTATTACACTTATTATAAACATACATACAAATGTATGTGTATGTCTAAGAAAAATTGGGCGTAACATTCTTCAAGTTCGATAGCCCGAATTTAGGTCAAGGTCAAATAATCATTTGCTATATCCTCCTAATAACGTCTACACAAACACATACAAATTTTCAAATATTGTTTGAGGATATGTTAGATATAAGATGGTGTTATATTATGAAGCAACTAATACGAATGGTTCTGTTACTACTAACACACATACATATTTTATTTTTTATTTTAGAAGTGATTATTACTATTTGACATTTTGTTGTTAGAAAAAGGTGGGGCCTAAAATTATGCAAATTAGATTTTTCTTTTTAAAATGAGGTCAAGGTCACTTAAAAAATTTATTCTCCCCTCCCTTTTTTCTATAAATGTTGAATAAATAGACATATATGTTAGAACACAATTTATTTCCCATATCTAATATAAAAGATAAAAACTGATCTTCTTCGAGATATATTTAATGTTGAACTCGTTCTGAATTGTATAACATTAAGAAATTCGATCTACCTATACAATATACCAAAAGTAGACCAAATTTTGTTGGCTCATACCAAATTTTGACAAAAAAACTTTTTCGATTTCTTCTTATTTAGCAATAATATAACAGTTTTCAATTCTTATTAAGACTTAGATTGCCAAATTGCTGATTTTGTATAACAGTTTTGTAAAAGATTTTTGTATAACAGTTTTTATTTTTTTGAAAAATCGTTCATTTAGTTCTTGAACACCTTCTTTCAATTTCGTTCTATTGATTCAATTTTAATTTTAATGTCAAAAATTTTTTAGTCTAAATACAATTTCTTACTATATAATTTTTTTTTTTTTTGCGGTTTAAGCCGGTTTACGAAGGTGCCCTTTCTGTTTTAATAAATTAACTTTTTAATTTATTATATAATCGATTGAAAAGGCAAGAAAAATAAATCCGATTATTAAAACATGAGTTTAATAAAAATATGCATGTTTGTGTATAACTGGAATTTTATCAAAAAAAAAAATTTTGATTTTATAGTCTAACCATTTAACACGTCAACACTTTTTTTCAAAAAACACATGTTATATAACATGTGTGAATTTATTATTAAAACGGAAACAAAACAAGATGAAATGAAAACGAAAAAAACCTAAGACTATACAAGAGCCTGATATAAATTTTAAAAATTTTGTTCATCTTATTCATGAAATTTGAATTAAATTCCAATTAAAATGTGACATAACCTTGACATTAATACTGGAAATTTCATTCTTTATATTAACGCTGAAATTGTTTTTATTGTTATTGTGTTATTAAAAGGTTGTTTAACTGTTACTATGCTCTGTTAATATCAATTTTATTATTTAGCAAAAAAATTAGAATTATTTTAGACAAATAGGAAACTAGATTTTATTCTTTATTGGAAATTTCGATAATTTGCATAATACGCATATACAAATTATAATTATATTGTTATATCACACGAATGATCAGACATTTTGTGTTTTTTTTTTAAATAAAATTAATTCTTGAAAATCAGGATTTTCTGGAATATTAGAATAGAATATTAATGTTATTAACAATATTGATTTGGCGAAATTTTAGAATAAATTTTAAAATATTCTATTTATTTAATATTTATATGTGTCATTTGGCCAATACTATCTTGTGTACATACAAACGATAGCAATAAATGGAGCCGAAATAACAAAAATTAACAAGTTATACAACAAGTTAATTTATGTACACGGTTTTTTTTACGACATTCAAAAACTAAGAAAAAAAAACCGGAAATTGATTTCCTTGTTTCCTACAAGAGCATTATATAGTTTTTAAATATTGGTAAGAAATTAGAATTTTAATATGTATATTAAAATTTAAACAATAATAGAACACCTAACAATAATTTTATATAACAGTGAGACAATAGTCGGGATTTCAGAATAGAAATGAAAAGTTAACTTTCAATTTCAAGGATAACATGAATATTTTCTGAATATTTTAGGGAAATTTAAATTAAAAGAGAATTAAAAAATAAATTGTTCACATTTATGACCTCGAATTTAAATATATCAGATTTACATACATATATGACCTTGAATTACTGTTTTTTTTTTTGTTACCTAACATCCTAAACTAATTCTCTCTTGATTTTAGCTCTCTTGAGCATATATTTTCTGATTATAATCAACTTAAATTAACATTAATTTTATGTATAACAGAAGGAGAATCGAAAAATAATAAAATTATTGCTATTTTGTATATAGATTTGTGTGTGTTACTTGAACGTTGCATTTTACAATTCATTTTAAAAACCGGTTCTCATAATATAATATACAAAACAACATGATCGCAAATGAGTTCGCATTGGTATGCATATTTTTATTAACGGTAATATTAGTATTTTGATGAAAAAACATTATAATAACACAAATATAATATGTATTTGCTTTGGTTTTGTGTTAACAGAAGTTCAGCAAATATGAATATAGAATTTTAATAAGTCTTTTAAAATTTCTCGTGAGAAACTTTAAATTCTTTTGTCTCACTTTTTTACTCACAATTCAATTTTACTTTGTAATTCGTATAATACATCAGATATTTTCGAAAATGTGAACTTTTAAATCAGAATTCTTCGTTTTTCTAATGGATATTTTATTGTTCTAATATAATTACCCATTTTTTCAATTGGATTTTTGCATTTTTTCCCAATATATCGACTGAACGTCTCACTTTCAAAAACAAAGTGAATAAATTTTATATACCTATATTTTAGAAAAAAAAACGAGATACGCAATACCGAATAATTCTTCTCACTCGAAAATTACATAATACTAATATATATAATAGTTACTCATTTACTTCTCATTTGCCGAGTAAAATAGCGAGATAGACGATCAGACACTAAAAAAATGAGTTATTTTTATTTAAAATGAGGTATTCATGAGAACGATTATGACTAATAGTATTACTATTACAAACACTGAAACAGGCAAGGTAACTGTACTACTAAAGCAGACTAGGTTCTTTTACTAAATCAGTAAAATTATAATAAGATTCCAAACAATACAGAAACATACATAAACTACATAATTAAATTATTTTGTACTGACTCTAAACTTTAAAATAACTTCTGCGGATCAAAATTCTTTTTATTATGCATAAAGTGCGACTAATTTAGAAAATTTTACTTATTAATTTAGTACATCATCCCTTACATTATAGATTGAAATTGATTATTTGACGATAAAACTAAAATCATATTCGACGCTCTGAATGAAACCGGTTATGTGAGAATAATCTCCATGAAAGGAACCGTTGTTTAAGAATATGAATTATTGCAAGTAAGATTCTCACAAAAAGTGTGGCCATTCAAGAAATATTAATTATTCTCTTAACGAGTGCGGTCATTCTTTAAACGAGTGGAATAGAAATTCCGGCTCCTACTTATACTTACATAAATCTAAAATTAATGTTATATTATTAGAATAAAGTTAAGTATGTAATTATTATTTATAATTTAAAATTACCTTAATTATTTAATATTATTTTTGTATTTATAATTATATATTATTGCTATTATTAGTATTAAATATAATTTTATATTTAGATTAAGAAAAAAAATATTATTTTATATATTTTGTTTTTAATTTTTGTTTTTATTTATTTATTTCTGTACAAGTAAATTACATAATTATATCATAAGTAGTTTATTTTATTTTGAAAAAAAAAAAATTATATGGAGAAAATTACATTAAAACGTAATTTTTTTTAATTTAACAAAACTTTTCTCTTAATTATTTTATTTTTAAATTTTATTTTTTCTCAATATTCTAACACCTATATTTATTTTATATAGTACAATAACAAATATTTTATATATTTATTTAAAATTTAATAAAATTCTAAATAAATATTTGTTTTTTAATTTCCTTTATTATTTGTAAATTTGAGTATTTTTTTTTTGTTTCTGTTATACAAATTGTTATTTAATTTTTATTCGTAATAAAGGAATACTCTGCATTTTTTTCATTTTTTTTTTTTATAATTAATAATTTGGCGGACAAAATAAAATTTTGTCTTTTTTTTTTTATTATTATTAAAACAAATTTTTAACAACTTATTTTTTGATATAACAATTAAAATGGTATTTAATTTAAAAAAAAAATATTTAATCTCCTGTTGGTTTTTTTTTTTATTTTAAAAATTAATTAAAATAAAATGATAAATATTTTTTTTTTTTCCAAGTCTTCGGACTTGTTAAAGACAAGCATTTTTTTTGTTTTAGAATACTTTTGAAAGTAATCCAGTAACTAATCCAATTAATCCAGAATAATAACATACAGCGAATAGGAAGAGAGCTTTACAAGTACGATCAACAAAATATGCTCTATATAATTCAGAAAAGAGAGAAAGAGAAAAGAGAGAAATTTAATTATTGTTATTCATCTAAAGTTTTTAAAAATCAATAATTGAGAACAAAAAAAAAAAAAAATTTATTTACATTTTAAGTTGTCTTCTTGCTTTTGGTAAAGTTTCTAATGGTTCTTTCATAATCCATTGACGACCACCTTTTAAACCTGCAATTAAATATTCTTCTTCTGGATAAGGATTATCCATATCCTGATTGAATCTATATAATAAATAAAATAATTAATTTAATAAAAATATAAAATAATTAAAATATAAGAGAGAAAATTTAAAATAATATATATAGGAATACTGTATATATACTTACTCTGCTTTGTCTTTTTCTCCTAATTTTTTCCAAACGCTCTGATATTTCTCAGATGTAAAGTGCCATGGTCTCATTGTGAAAAATTGTAAAACTTCTAAACCAGTTGCAACTCTATCAGCAACACGTAACATACTGAAATTTTTATTTATTTTAATTATTTTTTAATATTAAAAAGCTAATTCTTAATTTGGAACTGTGTATATTCCTAACTTAATGGAGAAATTCATGAAATTGTACGGTTTTTTTGGATTAATGCTGTCAAAAACGGAACTGCTTGCCTCAGTTAAAGCAAATAATTAAATATTTGCTAGTAAAGCTAATTGAAATTTTGAGACATTTATTATATGGCAGGCTTTAAACCTTAAAAAAAATGTTCATGAATTTTCATTAAATCAAATCAATTAAATAGAGTTCGATATTCTCGCTTTAAACAAAAGCTGCCTTTATATAAAGCAACAAATTCTCAGTGAAATTTTTGTATAACAAATACTGAAAATTTAAAAATACGAGTATTTGATTATATTGAGAGTTCATTATTTACAGAAATTTTACTGTTATACACAGAAATTATAAAGTACCAATAAATAAATGTATATATACTTACAATCTTTTCTGTCCAAATATTAATAATAAGAAATCAATAAAATATGCTGGCACCCAATGGAATAAAATACAATTGATACGATGATATAATCTATTTGTTGTAATAACACCATCTGGATACCATAATCCAATTTCAAGTGGATATTCATAACCAATTTTTTTACCATGATGGATAACTTCACCCCATGTTCTTTTACGATGTTCAGCACATGTTACATTATAAACTGGTATTTCTTGTGGTTTTTGTTTCATTGTTGCAAATTCATATGCAATTGTTATTAAACCATTAATAGCATAATCAACTGGTATACATTCACCTTTAATGCTTTCATCAATTAACATTGAACGTATAACACCTTTAGCAGCACCAACCATTATACCAGTCGGTCCATTTAAATTATCAACCCATCCGGGTAATGGTTCAAATGCAGCCGGTGATACTATAATTTTTTTTTTTTTTTTTTCGTTTTTTATAAATTTTATATATTTAGGGAATTGGTTATCGCCAGATAATAGTAGATTAATATATAAAAAAAAAGTATAAAAAAAAAAAATTTACCGTCAAAAAATTTTCAAGAAAAAAAAACAAACAAAATCGAATACTCGGAATGAAATGCCAAAAAATTATTGTGAACTCCAAAATAGAATGAATGATGAATGAAAAATGAAATCTTGATAAAAAATTTTGATAAAAAAATTTTGATAAAAAAATTTTGTAAAAAAAAAATGAATCCAAAAAAATTTTTAAAGCCAAATAATTACCAAAAAGATGAATGAAAAATACTTAAAATGAAATAATATGAGTAAAATTTTGAGAAAAAATGAGAATTTTTTGTAATTTGAGAAAAAAAAAATCACTCAAATATTTTTCTTTTTCAAAAGTTTAAATAATATGAAGAAGACGTGAGATGAGAACTGAAATTAAATAAGAATTAGAAATGAGTAGAAATTTTCAAAATTAAATTTTATAATGAATTTCATAATGAATTTACCTAGTATTTTTTTTTGTACAATTTTTTACTGAAATAAATGATTTTTTACTTTTTTTTAATTTAATGATTTTTTATATGAACGTAATAATATTTTTTTCTAATTTTACTTTGACACACAATAACAATAACAATACTCTTGTAATATAAACGGAAAATGAGAGAAACACACTCATTATTTTATTAATTACTCAAATTTATAACTCAAAAATAATGTCATAATTGGTATACGTTAACTATTTGTGTAGAAACTTATGAATTTATAACAATTAAATAATGAGTAATTTTACGCATTAATAATGACTATTATTAGTTCATTAATAGTGAAGTGAGTAAAATATTGCTCTCTTATAGTGAGCAAAAACTCATTAGCTACATATAAATCTTGTAAGTCTTTTGATATTGTTTTATGAATATTTAATTAATATTTTAACAAAAATAACAATAATATCAATACACTTTTATACCGATAGCTGAGTATATGAGCTAAATGTACGAGATTATACGATAAAGACTTGATAATTTTATATTATTAAATATGCGAACAGAAAATTAAAATAAAAACTTAACGTTTACATTTTTTACGCTTCGAATTTACATTATTTACTTTTCGAATTTACGTTATTTACGGTAAGAGACTTAACAATTATTATTAAACATGCAAACAGAAAATTAAAATAAAAACTTAACGTTTACGTTCTTACGCTTCGAATTTTAATTATTTACGATAATACGAACTACGTTATTTACGATAAGAGACTTAATAATTATTATTAAACATGCAAATAGAAAATTAATATATAAAAACTTAACGTTTACATTTTTTACGCTTCGTATTTACGTTATTTAATTTTCGAATTTACGTTATTTACGATAATGCGCATTTTCTGAACTTGATTAGAGCATTTTACTATGTTATAACTCATTAAAATAATAAAATTATTACCCACAATACAATTATATATTTATACATATTGAAATATATAAATATTATAACTTTTTATTTCTTTGTATAACAGTTTTACAAATTGAATGGAATATATGTATTTATGTATTTAAAATATACGTATATGAATATTATACAATTTAAAAATCATGTGTTTTAATTAATCGTATACATTGTATTCAATTAAATCATCTTAATTATAATTAATAATATTTTAATTTATACTTAATTTTTGTTTACATATTTATTATAAGTATAACAGTCACTGAAGCACATCCAACCGAACTCACATTTACATATAATATAGTAATAATATATTATTAATTTTTTTTGTCTCACAAAATAAAATATAATAACATATAATTAGTACACTTTTTAAATTACACTATAATTATTTATTTAAAAAAAAAAAAGTAGACATTAGAACTAAATGGTAAATTAAAATGTTGTATAAAATCCGCCGAAGATACACACTGTTCAACCGCATGTTAAAATTGAAAATTTTACATTTTTCATTCCACAATCTCTTCTATTCTCTTCCCTAAAATCTCAATAAGAGAGAGAGGCAGAATTTATTTAAAAAAATTTATGTTGAGAATTTTAATACACTAATATATGAGAATTCCAAATTTATAATGTTATATTTGAAGTGCATAATATTTCGTAGTATATTGTATAAAGTATGTATGCTGCGTAGAATAATTTGTTGAATTTGATTGTTATTGGAAAACTTATTGATTAATATAAAAATAATTTTTATCGTTTTTTTCAGTATGCTATTAAAGAGCTAATCATTTTCAATAGACCCGTAAATTTCATTAAATAATATGCAACGTAACCATAGAAGAACGTTTTACACGCACGATCAAGTACATACATCCTTAAAACACAAAAAAAAAAATATAAAATTAAAAAACATAATTCAAAAATCGAAATGACAAGTAAAATTAAAACAAAGAGAGATTCCAATTTGTTTTATTTTTTTGGAGATTTTCTCATAATTAATTCAAATTTAGGAGGGGAGAATGTAAACAGAGAGAAAAATTTAGAATTTTCGATTATAATATTAAATTATTTTTAATAATAGTTTCATAAAATGTAAAGTGGCAAAACTGTTATTTATTATGAGATATTATTAAAATCTCCGAGGGATTATTTAAGAAATTTTTTTAAGAAATTGAGAGCAACCTAATTAATATAAAAGAGTGTTTTGAGAATAATTTCCATTAAAAAAAGCAAGGATTTCTCTTTTTTTGTTTTAATTTTACAAACGAAATTATTTTTAATTTTACATTGCTAATTGTCTTCTAGCCGATGGTAAAGTATCTGGTGATTCTTTCATTAAATACAGTCTACCAGCTATTACACATGACATCATATATTCTTCGATACTTTCCTTTGGATTCATATCCATATTGAATCTACAATATTAAATTATATGAAATTGTGAGGCAATTCAATTATCAAAATAAGTGTTGCCATATATAGCTTACATTTTTTTATCAGTATCATTTAATTTTTTCCACAATTGATCATATTTATCAGATCTAAATTTCCAATGTGTCATTGAAAAGAATTGTAAAACTCCTAATCCAATTTGTACACGATTTTGTACACGTAACATACTTTCCAAATAATTTTTTTTAAAAAATGAATATTCAATAAGTGTTTTTAAAAATTTTAATAATAATAAAAATATTTGGATATTATAATTTTAAGGCGGTTAGCTTTATCATTCATTTGATAAATATCGAAAGAGAAAAATTTTGAATTAAAATTTATTGTAAATTTTGAATTTTCACAAAAGAATAATTTAAATATGAAAAAAACGAACAGCCTTAATTAAATTTAAAACTTACAATCTTTTCTGTCCCAATACTAATAATATGAAATCAATTATATAGGCTGGTAACCAATGAAATAATAAAACATTGATATTATGATGTAATCTATTTGTTGTTATACAACCATCAGGATACCATAATCCAGCTGATAAAGGATATTGATAACCAATTTTTTTACCTAATTTAATAACATCACCCCAATATTGTTTTCTATGTTCAGCACATGTTATATTATAAACAGGTACTGTTTCTGGTCTGTAAAAAATTTTTTTTCATTAAATTCGAAAGAATGACACACACAACTATAATGTAATTTAAACGAAATAATTTTGAAAATTGAGGCACATAAATAAAGAAATTGAATTCGAGCTCAAAACGTGCAAAAAAGTGTTATGCCAATAATTTTTACCTGCATTGATATTATTGATCAAAATTTAAATTTGACAATTCGGTGATGATAAGAAATACTGTAATACTATAAAAGAGAGGGAGAGAGCGTCTAATTTTTAATGATAACATTTTTGACATATTGAGTGTTGTTGCTCAATAAATTTTGAAAACTTGCTCAAAAATACTAACATTTTCGTTTGAAAACAATCAGAAAGAGGGTTTTTATAACAGTTAAAATTTTAACAAGAATTCAATTTCTTTATATGTTAATGTTAAAATTTGAATTTAAAAAATTAATCCGAAAAATTATTTTTAATTACTTTTCTTCTGTTGCAAATTCATATGCAATTGTAATGAGACCATTAATAGCGTAATCAACTGGTATTACTTCTGATTTACATGTTTCATCAATTAACATTGAACGTATAACACCTTTTGCAGCACCAACCATTAAACCGGTAGGACCATTTAAATTATCAACCCATCCAGGAACTGGTTCATAAGCAGAGGGTGATACTTAAATTGAATAAAAAGATGAAAAATTGGTTGTGTTTTTTCTTTCACTTTCATTTTCTTATTTTTTCAATTTGATGCCTTGAACATTTTTTTTTTTAATCAATAAGTTGAAATACTATAAAATTTATTCGAAATAAATTTTTGTTGCTTTTTTCTTTTTTTTAGTTGTTTTTCTCCAATAAATTAAAATTTGTCAATTAAATTAAGTATAAAATTAAATAGACACGAATTTGTTACTAAACTAAACACACAAACTTTACGTTTTACATAATTACAATAAAACGTATATATACTCTTTACGAAACGTTTGTTTAAAATATAAAAGTAAGAACAAAATTTATTTTAACAGTTTCGTAATCCGTTTTCGATATCGGCGGTGATGAATGTAAGTAGCTGTATGGATTTAAAAGTGAAAGTAAAATTGCTCGTTTATGATTTCAAAATAACCGGCTACTTCATAACGTGCACTTCGTTCATTTGTGTACGTTATCTTATTTTCTTGTCACGTTCTTCGTATATATAACAGTATATAGTATAAGGATTTAGATAGTATTGCTGTATAATTATGACGCAAGAAACGAACTTGAAAATATTGTGTTGAGATGTAGGTGTTTGTATTTTGTATTAGTTTTGTATTTATTATGTATAACATATTTTTGTAATACATAATAAATACATAAGTAATACATAGTATTGAAGTATTGCTGAAGGAGTATTGTGTGTATGAATTTGTTTGTTTACATAAAATTTAGATTATTTTTCGAAAATTTCTATAATTTTTCGTATGACGAATTTTCGTGTCCAAAATGAGGATAATTTGAAATTTACTCAAAACGTAGATCGAAAAGACAGGCGAGAAAAATGCGACTCCCTTCATATTTCCGGAAATTAGGGAAAGACTAAGAATAAATTTTAGTTGCAGATATTACTTGAATAACTTAATAAGCGGAGATAATTCGAGAACCACCGAATAACATCCGGTATTTTAATTCTCGAATTATTAATTGGATTATAGCAAATTATTTCAGAATTTTCAAATTAGAAATAAAAATTATTATATTGCTTGTTTAATAGCTGTTCGTTGATAATTTATAAGTATACTCATACATATATCATTTATTATTTTACACGATAAATTATAACAATAAAATTATAAATTATATTTAAAATCTCATTATATAACGATTCTTGTATAACATAATACTTGTATAACAATTTGAAATCCGTTTACGATATCAGTTTTTGATACTTTCTTTTTGTCATACGTGTGTACCTTGTAATTTTTTTAAGTATATCACTTTAATTACATAATAATATTATATTATATATACATCATATTCTAACACATTAAAACAAACAAACCGAATTCACGAAACATACAACATATTATAAAAAAAACAAACTAAATAACATATAAAATTATAACATATATAAAACACACATATATTTTATACAAACTTTAATTAATATAACAGTTATACATTTCAATTACATTAAAGTATTTAAAATAATAAATATTTAATATCACTGAACGGTAATTCTATTATGAAAACACTCAAATTTTACGGTATTAAATCACAATCAGCTACACACACACATTCGAATCAACTTTAAAACTTTAAAACGATTAAAATGAATTTGTAATTGATATAATTATAATGATTTGCTTTGAATGTAAATAATTATGATTATATATATACTTAATTAATAATTAATAATATTATAAAGCGATTATTTTTAATTAAATTATACTACAAAAAATGAAATTTATTTTAAAGAATAAGCTTATTTTTCAAAAGTATAAAATATATAAATAAATTAAATAAATATGGTAAATATAAGAATTTAAATTATATATAATGATAAATAAAATTATGAAAATTTATAAAAGTATATACTATATTTAAAATGTAAATTGTATAAAAGATATAAAAAAATTAATAGATTTTAAATAATATTTTTTTAAATAAATATTTGTATGCCGCCAGTAGAAATTTAAAACGTTACCATACTATATCGTAAAAAATTAAATTATTGTTAAAAAAATTTCCAACAAAATGTTCATTTGATTTTTTACTTAACGTAAGTAATATAATGTTATTTGGACATTTAATTTACTAGCGCTTAATTATTGTTATAACAAAATAAAACGAGATTAAGAGTAGGAGAGTACAATGAATCCAATAAATTATTAATACGAGTGCTCTCCTCAATGAGAGTAATGCAAATACTTTATGATTAATGCAATTCAGTTAACGTGACATTGTGACAACAGTATAGTGACAAAAATTATTTTTAATTGAAAGTCTCCAAATTATACAACATTATTGTAAATGACACTATTATAAATGTTATTTTAACATATTTACAAGTACTGTCTTAGTAGTAAAATTAATAATTTTTAGCAATATTGTTTAAGAAAGAAAAATAACAAAAATATTTCGCCCTCTATTTGTATTTTGGAAAATTAATTATAAAATTTTATTAATTCGTTTATATTAATTTTATTTACACGATTATTATAAAGTTGATTATATTATGAAAAGAAAACTAAAAACAAAAAATCAAAACAAACGAAAGAAAGAGTAAAGTTTCATAACATTTTATCACCGCGACAGTTGTATTATACATTGTTGGCATGCTTTAGTAAATCTGAAGTAAAACAGAAAGTAAAAAATAATAACAATAAAAATTAAGTATTTTATTAACATTTAAAAGCTCAATGTTACCTACATGCCATTAAGATATTCAAAATATAAAAAAAAAAGAAAAACATTATAAACTAGTTACTAATTTTTTTTCTTCTTTTAATAATCAATAAAATAAATAACTGGTTTTCTTGTTTTTTTTTTGTTCAAAAAAAAAATTAAGTGTAGAAAAATGAGAAGAAAATAATATTAAATTTGATTATGAATATTAAATAAATTTTAAATAAAAAATTTCAAATTATTTTTACAAATTACAAAATTGGGGCAATATTTTAAACATTGTTTTTTGTTATATACTTATATTGAGAATTGAGATAAGAATATATTTTGAGAATGTTTAATATGACATTCTCAATATTTTACATTAATATGGTCTCATACTCTCATTGTTTACCTACCAGACTTTTTTAATGAAAAGAGAGTGAAGTTTTTATAAAAATACTTTTATAATGGAAATTTTTTATATAGCAACAATTCTTGTGTCGCATATAATTGTCTGTCAACAATATTATTGCCATATATATGGAAAAATGTTAATTTAATAAGAACAATTAATTAAGTTTGGTATATTCAAATTTTAATAAAACATTTTCTGGGTATTTTCAATTTTAAATTTATTTTGTGATTTTTTTTGACCATATTTCAAAAATTTCAAGGAAAAGAAATTATATAGAAACATGAATTTTCAATTTATTAAATAGCTTTCACTTGTCTTATTTTTATATTTTATTTGCAATAAAATAATATTGAAAATTAATCAAATTTATTATATTATTTTTGTTTTTGCGAATTTCCAATTACAACAATATGTAATACAAATAATAAATTTAGTATTACGTTTATAATATGTTTACAAAATTACAAAATTAAACTCAATTAGTTTGCATCTTAAGAGAAATTGCTAATAAAATCTTAAGTTGAGAGAGGTTGAGAATTAAATTTGAAATAAAAAGAGAAATCGGTAAAATTTTCTAAACTGACAAAGTTTCTTTGTTCGGATTTTTAGAAGTGTATTGAAAATATTGAAATTAATTTCAATAATTTTAATATTTTTAATAAACTTTTCCTCTAAGCAATCGTGTAATTAATCTCTCAATGAAATTTGAAGTTTTAATTACATACTACACTTTACTCTTTCAATTCATACTCCTGTCTATTACATAATTTTTTAATTTGTTTTTATTATTCTCTCTATTTTTATTGTAATATATTAAATACAATATTGTAGCTGTCGTCACAGTGCCAAAGATCAACTGTACATATATATATGTACAAAATATACATAAGAAGAAATTTAACTATTTTTTTTTTTAATTTCCTCAAATTTTAACTAACAATTAAATTTTCATTTTTTTTTAATTGAAATTTAAAATTTTAAAATTTTGTTTTTAAAATTTTTTCAACATTAAAATAAAATTGAAAATAAAATATGAAAATGGGAAGAGATTTTTGTTGTGAAAAATTAATTTTTCATTTCATTTTAGACATTTTGAAATATTTATTACATATAGTTTTAAAATAAAAACAAAATTGTTAGAAAATAATATTATAAAACAAGTTTTTTTTCTGAAATTTTCTTTCTTTCTGAATTATTTTTCAAATTTATCATAGCCATATTGAAAGAAAATGTTTTTCATTTCATTTTAAAATTTTTATCATATTAAATTGAAAACATTTTAATTCGCATATAAACAACAAAAATTTTCCCTCCAAAATGAAAACTTGTGCTTTAATTTATTATCTAGATTTAAATAATTTGTAATATGAATAAAATATTCATATATAAATATAAAGTTTATATATTAAATAATATTTGTAGGTATATAGTGAAAATATACGTATATATAGTAAGTAATTGAATTCATACGTACATTATTATATGATTGCATTTTCTATATTTAAGTATATTTTGTTGTGAAAAGGAAAGTGAAATATATAATAGGAAGAAAAAATTGTATTGCTTTCGAAAATATTATAGTAAAATTGGTAATTTCTTGATCGATTAAATGGTGCTTGAAATGCATTTATATTTATATTTGGTATTATTTATTAAATTTCATTTTATATTCATATTTTGTTATGGTATTTTATTATTTTTCATTCATTCTTTGCCATATATTTTATAGTTACAAATGTGTTTTTGATTGCTCTATAATTGAATATAAAGAAATTTTTACAAAAAGTATTATAAATGTTTTAAAAAAAATAATTATTTATTAATAGATTATGGAAACGAATAATTAATCAAATAGATAGCACAAATTAATGACTTATACAACAATATTAAGCATAGCTTAAAATTTATACCTAATTGATAACTAAAATTATCTGTACTATATGGTAACATTTCAATAAATTCTCTATTCTTAGTAGTGGCACTTGTAAATATTAGAGATTAAAGCTCAATTACCGTATTAAATTTTTATGAGAAAATTGAATAATAATTACTCTCATTATAAAAGAGGAAATTATTAATAATAAATAACAATATAAGATCATTATTCAGATGAGAGAATCTAATAAAGTTCTTAAGAGTTATTTAACATGGAGAATTTTACGATATTGTTTGCACGTGCATACATTACAATTTTCTGTGCATATAAATTAAATGAGGTGAAGTATTAATAATAAAATTAAATTCATTTAAAATATTTTTTATATTTTGTATTAAAAAAATATTATTTAAAATTAAATGATAATAATAATATGTTAAAATAAAGGAAAATATATTTGCATAAAAATTAAAAACCATTCACCAAAATAAATAAATTTTATTATACAAAAATATGAGATTTAGAATAAAATTTCTAAAAAATAAAAAAAAATGCTATAAAAAACAATGTTAATGTAATAATAAAAAATGTAAAAAATTCGAAAAAATTATGCTGTTCTTTGATTTTTTTTTTTTTGTATACGTAAAACATTTGTGCTACTTACCGATACTTGGTCTTGTTACAACAACTGGCATAGCTGGATAATGATCACGTACATAAATTTCAGCCAAACGTTTTGAATATGTATAAGTATTTGGATGTGGTTCTAATAAATCTTTTTGTATGGCATCCAGCATTTTTTTATCCATCCATTCACCCATTCTCATTAGATCTTCTGGTTTATGACGGAATTCATAAATTTTTTCATGCATAACATCTATATCACAATTACAGAATGCTGTTGATAAATGAATAAATGCAACTAATTTTTTCATTTGTTTAGCAACATCCATTGCTCTTTTTGTTCCATTTAAATTCATATCAATATTATATTTTAAATCAGCTTCCAATCTTAATGATGCAGCCATATGGAAAACAATATTTGTTTCATCAGTAACATGTTTTAATGTTTCACCAGTTAATCCAAGATCTATATAATAAATTAATTTTTTTTTTTTTAATAAAAGGCTAGATAAAAATTGCATTACAGTGGAGGTTCTATATAACAAATAATCAGAAATCTCCATTAGTCATGTTCTTAATACAGAAATTGTTTGTCATACAAATTGTATGAAATGTTTGTTATACAGAAATTCCGTATTTAACTACATGTATAGAAATAAAAAATATGAATACTTACAATCCATGGTAATGTCACCAGCAACCATAGTTACTTTCTTGAATAAATGCGGTTTTTCATCACGCATACGTTGAAACATCTAGAAAATAGAATTGTATAAAAATTATAATTATTCAATATTATGTACTTCAATATAAAAATAGAATATCAAAGTTTTATATGGCTTCATAATTACAAAAAAAAATTACTCAACGATTACTTAAAATTTTATAATTACAATTAATAATTATTTTAATAATTATTTAATCTGTACAATTTCAAAATATTCATTAAAATATTGAAAAAAAATTAATTAAGAAGCGCTAAAACTAAATTTTGAATTTGGAACGTCATTATAAATTGCTAAATCAAAAGTAATCAAAAAGAACTATTGACAAATAAAAGTAGGGTAATCACAAAAAGTAATTACTTTCAATAATAAATACTAACATTTGTAAAATGCAATAAATACAAATATAATGATTACTGTACAAGTACAAGTTTTAAAACTTTTGGTTTCTATATAAATTACTCAATAATAAAAATCATTTATCCGTAATTACGTTATCAAATTTTAATTATATATAGGAATTAAATGATATAATAGAATTTATTAATAATATACTCACTGGTAATTTCCACATATCTTCTAAACGGCTTTCTGGTGTCTTACCACGTTTTGGTCTCATTAAAATTATAATTTCTTTTAGTTCAGAACATGAGTACAAAAGTTTTTCAAGTAAAACTTTACCCATAAAACCGGAAGCACCAGTTATAAATATTGTTTTATCCTTATAGAATTGCTGTACTGGAGTTAATTCAGGCATTTTGATTTTTTTTTTGATTTATTTTATTTGTTTTTAATAAAATAAATTATTGAGTGTAATCTGAAATGATAACAAAAAAAAATAAATACTTGTTATTATTTTTTAAATTGTAACTAATACTTAAAGTACTCATTATCATTTAGAGTTATTGCAACATTGTTACTATAAAAATGTTAATTTTGTTTATTATTTTTTTGGCTATTTAATAATATTTTTAATCTTTGATCACATATGAATATTTTTGAAATTTTCTATATTTTCTAATCTAATGGATGGTTTATTTTAAATTACATTGAATGTAGCCGTTCAAAACAATTTTAATTACATAACAAGTTTATTAGACAATTTAATATATTTCATAACATTATAATTTTTTTAAATTCACACACAACATTGAATTTTATAGTGACTGGTTTTAAAATGTAATTAAAATTTTAAGTACAAAAACATTATATTTGATAGTATAAAATTAATAAAAGTACTCTAAACTCTAAAACTACTCATAATTATTTTAAAATCATTTTTTTTGCCATTATTAAATATACGCCTAAAAATTTAACTTAAAAATTATATTTAGTAAAAATCTAATTTTTTTTAATCACACATATTGACAACTCTATGGCTACTTTATTATCAAAAATTAAAACTTTCTGTCATTTAAATTAAATTTATAAATAAAAAATTATTAAATGGGAAGAGAAATCAGGGGAAATGTGAGCATCTTATTTTTTATCTCGGTTTTTACAATTTGAAAATTAAAAGAAGTGTCAAAATCTCTCTCGATTACTCTCAAATCACAATTTCTGTTCTTTATTCTCTTTTTTAGAACTACAAATACTTGAGCAGTCAAACGTAACTCATAAATTATTTCTGAATAAATTTGAAGGAATTTTGATTTCATATCGTATGAACGGTTTGTTGATTTATGAATTCAGAATATTTTAGGAGAAAGTTGACATAGTAGGCTCAAATGTGTATATTATTTTTTATATGTGTGTGTATGTGTGAATTTTATAAAATATTAATTAGTATCAAATTAAAATTCCAGTACTAAGTATAATTAAAAAAAATTTAAATATTTTTTTTTTTCATTTTATAATGCAATGAACTTAATTGAATTAATTTCAAGGTAATAGATAATATTAAAGGTATACTTAATTGTTATGCAAAGCAATTTTGAAATAAATTTTCTATTTTTTTTTTAGTTTTAATGTGTGTGTGTTATAATTACTTAATCAAATCGGTTTTAAATTAATATTTACGTATCGTAAACCAATTACTGTGCGATTTATAATTAGAAATTAATGCGAGTATTGTATGTGTGATAATAACAGCTTTTGTCATATGAAAAATTCTGCTCTCCTTCAAATGTTGTAACATTCACATTAACAAGTTAATAATTTCTTCATAGTTTTAAATGAGAAATTTGCCGGGCTAATAAATTTAAGCGAAATGATTTTTTTCTCAAACCTGCATAGGTATAATAGAAAATCATTCAGTCTAAAGGTAATATTTTCCATTAAAATTACTTAAAAAAAAACAATAATTTCAACATTTATGATAACATCATTGCCAAGTTCTGTTTTAAAATGTTAATCAAAAATAATTTATTATGATCATTTAATTTGCATGTATACTAACATACATACATTTGTATGAAATTAAAATATGCACAGGTATACATTATAATGTACAAATTGAAATTTAACATAACATTTTTACTATACGAAAAGGAGAAAGAAAAAAATCACTCAGCTGTCAGTTATTGTATATGTGCATAAAATTAAGTGTTTTGCAACTGTTTAATTTTAATTTCAAAAAGTATCCATTATGTATGTATGTATACATACAAAATAATGTACTGTACATTTAATTCTCTTTCATAAAAATCTTAATAAAGATTGTGTCATGTTAATAATACACTTGACAGTAATCTTAACATTAACACTGAAGTAAAAATTTTTCAAAATAAAATTTTATACATAAAAATCTATATAAACATACATATATATATATTCAATATGGATAAAGTAGCAGGTATAAATTGTGTGTGTATTTTACTATTATGGACATAGTAAATGATTTCTAAAATTTTCAATAAGATTGCCAGCTGAACTGTTTTTTTTTCGCGGTTGAAAAACATAAATGCTTATGGATAATTTCACTAATATAACTTTTAAGTTTTGATATTTTCGATTAAATTTAAAATCAAATTTGAATAAAATATTATTTAAAGTATAAATTCTACAGTTTATGTATATTTCTGTAGTATTTTCGAGATTTAGAATTCAAATATATCGAAGGCTTTCCGCATAATTTTTAAAATGTTTTGAGTAATAATTAAACAACAGAAATTTCATTACTTTCTACGGAAATTAGTTTAAGCTTTCTTAAAACACTAAAAATGTAAGATCAATTTGATAAATGCAAGTAAGTGAATGTGTAAGTATGTACATATGTATATTATAAATTTGGTATATAAATAAAAATTATAATGGAGGCTCTAAAATTCCTGAAGAATTTAATTTAAGTCTTCCTAGCTCCCAAGTCTACAAATATTTTAATATGAAATATTTAAAGTAAAATTTTTATGAAAAGCATTAAACTATGAACAACGAACGGTTTCATTCAATAAATTTCAATAAGTTTCATTAAAATGATTAACATATACATATGTAAATCTTATAAGCATATTAAATTTTATTATCACCAATAAAATTTTGTAAATGTGGTAAACCTCTATAAACCTCTAATAATATACTATATTATTCTATTAGCAATTTGTTTGGTATATTGCAAAAATAATAATTATATTTTTCAAGTTTCACATACATACATGAGCAAAATGTTTTCTAATATAATTGAATTTATAATATATACTTCAACTTGAAAACGCTACCTATATACCTACATTGTAAATTTCATATATAAAAAAAAGCTTGTATATATGCTTGTATATATCGTTATACTTTAAAGTTAAAGTGCGCCATTCATCATAAATCTTTATATAAGAAAATATAACTATTCTGGTTATTATGGATCATTAAACTTCAAATACGGTGCTATTTCAATATTTTAGAGGCACATTTATTATTTTATTTTTCGTTTTTGTTTTGCTTCTATACAGAATATATTATTTAGATTTTGTTGTATGTATACACATGAAAAATTAAATAATAATGTTATATATTTGTTATACAGAATTGTATATGAGTAGTTAAAGTTATAACAAATTATGTAGCATAGAAAATTTATAATTATTATGCGATAATTTAGATTCTCCATGGTTTTCTAAGTTATTCACAGCTTTATTATTAAAAAAACAAAAGATTTTATTTATTGAAAAATAAAAATTATTGTGTATATGAAAATATTTAATACATTACAAAATGTTGATTTTTAAACCATAATATTTAAGACAATATCAATTAGGATTGATGTTTTTTTTTGCAAATTATAAAATCCGGCAGCAAAATCAGTTTGCAACACTATATGAAACTGGCTACTTGATATGCTGAATCGTATAACAATCCTGATATATAACATTATACTAATTACAATAGCTATCTAAAAAAAATGTAAAGCAGTGTAATTACGTAAATTTATGGTAACTGATCACCCACCTTTTACTCTTTTATATGTATAACAGAATTTTCCTGCAATAATTTTATTGAATAAACTTCAATCACAAAGGGAACGCGAATATTATAATTAGCTGTCGTCGTGCGCACTTAAAAACTTTCATAATTTCTGTAAACTTTCTTTCTGTCTCTTCTAAAGAAGAGTATAAATATGAAATATGGTTTAACTTTTAACACGTTGTGTGATTATAAATCGGCGGTGTTATAATAAATAAACAAATATTAAACTAAATAGCTCTTCATTATAATAGTTTATTAATGAAAAATTTAAATAATCTTAATAAATGTTAAAAAATACAGAAAAAATTTTCACACTTTTATGGAAAATTAAATATTCAAAAAAATTGAAAGATATTTAAATCTGTTAATATTCTTTTTTTTTTGTTATAACTGACATGATCAATTTACAAGTCAATTAGTGTATATAAAGAACTATATAACAAACACTTAATATAATAGTGTTTAACCATATACATCATAATATTTAAATTATCATTAACACCTACTCAATAGCCCGGCACTATATGTACATATTCATTTTACATTTATTGGTATACATTTAAGAAATTGGTTAAAATGGAAAAATATAAAATGTAAATTGAAAATGTACAAATTTGTACAACATTTACATACATTTTTAAAAAAATTTTGTAAATCAATTAAATTGTAACTAAAAGTGATTTAAATGCTTTAAATCACCTTTAAATTGAAAACATTAATGAAAAGCGGTCGAAGTTAAAAAGTGTACGTGCTATAAAAATTTCTCATTGGTAATCAAGTCAAATTATCAATTGTCATTGTGTAATGAAATTAATGATCGGCACGTCGGCACGCGTTTACCTACATTATGTTAATTCGAAGAGAATTTTTTATATGTGTACCTACATAAGAGGAGAAAACAAATAAAATGAAAATAATTTTCTCATAACTTTCTTGCTATAGTGTTTATTTATTTACTTCTTATATGTGTTTTAGGAAATTATTCAGCAATAAATTCTTAAACTGATTTTTTACTATTATACTACTGTTATAATAATATTCGTGTACAAAATAAAACAATAAATTAAATATACGAGGGCAATAAATTGGAAAAAGAGAAGTAAAGATTAAGTGGAGTTTTTTTTCAATTATTGAAAATTTTGTAATACGAGTATGAAAATAGTTCTTTAATAAAAAGGGAAATTATAATTTGTTCATTTTTTGAGCGAGAACTGCTTTAACTGTAATATTATTTCATTAATGAGAGTATTTCTGCATGCATAATATTTTCTGTCAAATGTCATTTCATTTTATTCTCAAAAATTTATGATACAACCATTACCAATAGTATTAGAGAAGCGAGAGGCAGAATTTATTACCTAATCTTATAACGTAAAAGCATAATTTATACAGTAAGTATAATTGCCTGTATCGAAAATT